GAGGCAGGCGCACTCAGAACTGGTAGCAATGATGGTTGTTGTTGCTGGCAGCTGCTACCACTTCTGAGTGCGTTCGTCTGTCGCAGAAGCAGATAAAGTAGAAGCTTCTTTGTCGATGGCATCCTGTTTCAAAGGTAGTATAAAAGAAGGTTAATAGCGGTTTCGACTCCCTAGCATGGCGGTTTCGACTTTAATGGACAAATTTTTTTTCGACTTTTCGAAAATTTCGACTGGAATGGACGAATCGTAGAGGGGTTGGTTGTCTTCTAATGGCGAACTGGTGCCCTTGACCTTCTGCTCGAGAGCATTGGTACTTGCCGCTGCGCCGTGTGTGCCAATTATATTTTCTAGCATATGAGTATTATTCTCCAAGGAAACTTTATTAACCAATCACTGTAATTTTTATCAACCACTGTAGTTTTCTGATAAAAAAAACTTAATTTATATGACTTAGCAGTGCTGCACTTCCATCGATTATTAGCAAATTGAGAGCGCCATATGCCTTTCTCAGTGGAATTTGCTGTGTGTTACGGATGTTGCGTTATTTCTTGGACTTCCATTAGACCACGAAATACTACAAACATTCTCTAATCCACTACTGTTTCCGTCGCCGCTCACTTTACAACCTTTTCTAATTATCATATTGTGCAACAAGTATAAAGCTTCGGAGCTTTTTTACATGTAGAAAATGGGGTATGCAGAGGATTGCGGCTAAATTTAAAGAGCACTGAAATAAAAAAAAAGCCAGCAAATTGTGGATTTTGCTCACATCGCATGGATTTTTATTAGTTCTCGATAAACTTTGGCTTAGAAATTTTATAGATAGACTTAATAGTAAAATAATGCTTACAAAAAGAAGCATTGTAGATTTTAGTTGCATCACTTATGATTTTTGGATTCGCTCAAATGACCAGCCAAATAGGGTGGGATTTTCAGATCAATTCTCAGATGAACGAAAGCTGGAACTGCTTCCGAATGTGGATGAAATAATTGAATGCATGTTGGATTTGAGT